CCACTATCAGTGGTTATTAATCGCACCGGTGTCACAAGTTTACGCCTGGTGGTTTTTAAAATATACTTTATTTTTCCAGTTCTCTTTTTTGCTTATTTTTTTCGATTTACGCACTCTACTCCGTCGCTCTATAGCGGCCGAATTTAAACAAATTAAGCTAAATTTTGCAAACATATTTTGTTGTAGATTTGGGAAGTCTGTGCCAGGATCAGGCTTGATGTGGGCTGGTGCCCAACTCCCGAACCTTAGTTCGTATTTGTGGTCGTGTCAACGTGATTTTAAACTTATGCTCGCTGAAGTTTTTGTTGTAAGTCACACCCAATTTTGTTTCACAGTTGTTGGTTGGGTCCTCGTGAGTGCTGCGTAGTTTTAACCAGGCAGTAACACGACTGAATTGCCCTGGGTAGCCATATCTGCAGCTCAGTTATCAAGTTCTTCATTTATTCGTGTCTAGTCTACGGCGTTCCTATATCAAAGAGAGAGAGGGGGCGCCATTCTTATTTCAGAGCTAACTACACCCATGCTCAACTCGATCACACTTATCCCTTTTGCACACAAAAAAAAACAATCACGGCCGCGTTTACGCGCGCGCGCACGCACGCACGAATATTTGTTTGCAACTTTTCTAATTAGTGTGAAAGTAAATGAGGCCGACCGGTATATCGTTTAATGACGACATGGGGTGTCACATTAAATCATCCTCCGTACGTTCTGGCCGGTGGCGTGATACGAGCGAGGTTGTGTAACTTCACGCCGGTATATAAACTCATAGGAACCGTCGTCGTGATCACTTGTGCTGATTAGCATTAAATAGTGGGTGTGGCGCTCTGGAAACCAGAAAATGACCTTAAGTTACGACGAGGTTCTTGAGAGAGTCTATGGAACAGGTCTGTATCAAATTGTTCTCGCGATCTGCTGTTCAATGTGTTCCATGATGTTGTCCTACGAGTATCAGTCAATGATCTTCCTGCATTATACACCTTCCTTCAGTTGTTCAGATTCGCGAATGCAAAACTTTTCCAGTCTGAGATGGATTTCTTCCTCGACCTTCGCTGCGCTCTCGACCGACCCTTCCGGTATGGAGAAGATGTCCGCAAACTACACTGTTGAAGAACAATGCCAGGCCGTGGGACAACGTAATGGCACCAGCCATATGGAATTATTTTCCTGCTCGAAGTGGCACTTTGCTCAGTCAGTGATGCGTCGAACATTGCCGACAGACTTCACTCTGATTTGCGGCCGTAAACACCTGATCCAGTGGCTAGCTAGTAGCATGTTTTTCTTTGTCGCTGTGGGACAAGCTATCGCTCTGTTTACAGACAGAATCAGTCGCCGGAAGATGCTACTCCTCTACGTGGTTGTTGAGATTATAATTACCAGCACAACCCAATTCGGTACCTACTTTGAAGTTATTTTTATTCTGCGACTGTTGCGTATGCTAACCATGCCCCTGAACTATGCGGCTACTTGCATTATGCAGGAGCTCTTACCCACACGAAAACGGGGCCTCTTTGGCACTCTTTACTGGATGCCCTACGCGCTTGGGTACGTAGGCTCGGCAGGATTAGCCTACCTCACCCGGGACT